AAGCGTATCCGGAGACTGATCGGTAGCCAGTGCAGCTCGCGGGGGATAGGTGTAACGTGGGTGTACCGAGGTGCACCCACAATCACTCACGCGACTGCTTTCTGGACGAGTTGAAGTCTCCGAATACTCTTCAAGGGCTGCCCCATGTAGAGCGCATTGCAGTAGTCCAGTATGGTGAACAACTTCAATTTTACCCAAATTACCTAAAGAGTTAATATCAATCTTCATCAATCATATGTCTAAAATAGCTAGTAAATCCAGTCCAGTTCTTCAAAGCCATCATCTTATTTTATTTTTTTATAAATTGCAGAGAGAGTTGGCAGTGCAACAGGCAGGACTAAAATCTTATCAGAGCAGATTTAGTAGCTGCTCAATATGTGCCAATGCAATGCTTTCTAAAGAACTCAGATGTCAGAAAATCAGCACTATCTGAACAGCTGTAGGTTCTAGGCTTATAAAAGGCGTTTCCTGGTAGTAATTCTTCCCCATTTCTGCTCTAGACCACAAAGAGCGCACTAAAATATCTGCACACAGCTGCAAAACAAAGCATGTATTAAGTGTACTTTATGTTGGTAGTCACTTCCTTCTACTCACCCTTCCTCTCCAACAAATGTGACATACAGTTTATTCCTCTGTAGATCCTTTCTTGAATAACCCATAATTTGATTGAAGGCATCTTCCAGCAAGTGGTCTCTTCTGATAATTAATCTTTACAATGAAACAAATCAAATTACATAAATTCATAATGATATTTATCTTTCCTGCTTGGTTATATATTTATATTCAGTTTATAATGACCCTCCCTTCAGCTACCGTATATGCATCAACAAGACAGAGGCAGAACTACTAGACTACAGACAAAGATTCATTAAATTTCAATGTCTTGAAATATCCTTAATATGCATATTCTAGTGCATCAATGAAATATTAACGAATGGACAAGGCAAAATTAAATTCCAATATTAAAGAGGGATGCAATAAAGAGGACTGGGTACTTGGTAAGTCATTTCTTGAGCAAAAATAATCATCTGATTTACACATTAATGCAATTATAATATTATTCATGTTTCTTAGAAATTCCATTCTGACATATTTATACATAGTTGGACAATATATAGTCAACATGTTTATATAATGTGGATTAAACTCAGAAGTGAGAATATAAATTGTTCCAAGTTTTTATACATTTGTCTCACTTTTTCACTTTAGCCGTTTAGCTAAAGCACATACTTGTGAGGAGCAAATATGAGTTAATGGGGGGCAGCTTAGAATGAAACATTATTTTGATTATAAAACGGTGGAAGAAAAGTGAAGCAATCCTTTGTTACTGCAATTTATCTATCCAAGTTCAGTTTTCATAGTGGATCTTTGTTTTAAAGAAGATATATCAAAAGTCCAGCAGTATGCCTGGGAGTTAATAGCTAAATTAATCCCAAACATGAAGCACATATAGCTTTCCTACATTCTGTCCCAAATGCTAACCATTATATTCAGAGGTGGGTTCCTACCAATTCGCACCTATTTGGTAGAACCGGTTCGTCAAATCTACCAAACCGGTTAGAAGAGGTTCCACCAGTGGACCCGGAAAGCAGGCCACACCTACAGAAGAGGTTCCAAAATTTTTTGAAACCCACCACTGCTCCAATCCCATAATCACCTTTTTTTTCTGTTCTCTGCACTTTATCTGGACACATCTTCTTTTTTATATAACGGCGACCAAAACTGGATGCAATATTCTAAGTGTCGTCTAACCAAGACATTATAAAGTGGTAGTTAAACTTCATGTGGTGTTACAGGTATCTTCAGGGGATACCATGATTAGTAGTATCAAAGGCCAGAGAGAGGTCATGTAGGGGAAGGATGGATGCATAACCTCAATTCAACCCTCACCACTCAGCATAAGGGAGCAAACAGTCACTCACACCCTTGTCACCTCAAGACTGGATTACTGTAATGCGCTGTACATGGGGCTGCCCCTGAAAAGTGTTCGGAGACTACAATTAGTTCAGAATGCAGCCGTGTGAGCAATACTGGGTATACCTAGGTACACCCACATTACACCTATCCTCCACGAGATGCACTGGCTGCATGATTCAAGGTGCTGGTTATCACCTTTAAAGCCCTACATGGCTTAGGACCCGGATAT